GCTTATGTAACAAACATAAAATATCTTATATCTTTGGATAACATAAAAAATCTCGATTTTTCTCATTTTTGTGTTAATATCTTATACCTTATATAAATGTTAATAGCTTATACCTTGAATGCTTCTAATAACCTTTTTTTCTAGCAACTTAATTTTTTTTGTACTTATAAAATGTGTCAAAAATAAAAAAAAAAAATTAAAACTCACGTCGTTTTTGTAACAAACAAATATCTTATAACTTTGGATAACCTGCAAGTTTGTTTAAGAAAACAAACAACGTTCTTTGCGTCCTCCATCACGATCATCCCAGTGGGCTAGCCAATCACCAATCTTTGATTTCAATAATTTTACATCTGCAGGACAGTGTTTCATTATTGCAGCTTCGAAACATTCAAATAACACAGTGGCACTGAAATCAAGTTTTTCCACTCCTTTTTTCTTTCGACCTTGGCCAGAATACTGTCCTTGAATTTCTTTCTTAATAATTTGTGGAAGAATCTTATGTATGCAATCTTTGATATTAGAAAAATCTAAACACATCAATAACAGAAGATCCATCAAAGCCTTTTTTTTGTCCTCGTTTGTTCTCAATTCTTCCTCGAATTTAAGAAAATCGGGGAGTGTCTCAATAGGCAAATTAATCTCCAGTTTCTCTTTCAACTCAGCTCTAGTGCCCTGTGGTTTTTCACCTATTTTCATAGTTCCAATAATCTTTTCTATTTCCTCGCTCCGAGCTTTCACATCATACAAAATACTCCTCTTCGCTGAACGAATTTTTTTGACCATGATAATCTGGAGGTCCTGGAATTTTCTATCGAAATATGTCGTCAATTGATTAAATGTCTCTGGTTGTAGAATATCATTCTTTTCATTTTTATCTGCCTGTCCGTCTAATTGTTCCGTAGGACTTTTCTCACCATCATCAGGTACGATTCCACTCGATGCTAAATTGAAAAACAAAATTATCAATGTTGTTCGGGCGCGCAATAAACGCGCCGAACGAATCGCCGAATCCGTTCCGCGAGAACGCGAGATAATTGCGAGTGGCTTCGTTCAGCCCTTTAACTATGAGACGACCGGGGTTTCAGCTAACCGCGGACTCGATCGCTTGTTAGGAAGTTGAGTGGAAGGCCCAAAAGACAGCAATTGATTTATAATACATATAAACTTTATTCGATATAACAAAACGAATCTGACGAAACGCGAGATGTACAGAAAAATTAGTGCGAATGCACTCGGCGCGCTGTGACGTGTCGTATGCGTAGTTTTGAAATGCGATTTACATGACGTGCGCAATGAAAAGCGGTAAAAAACGGTAGACGGTATCGCGGATGCAATTGTCGCGGTGTGACGGAGTTGCAAAACGCGGTCTAACGTCCGATGCCTACAGAGACGCGGTAGGTATATACGGCAGGAAGCGAAGCACCGGGGTCACGACAGCGAGAGGGCTCGCAACGAGACCGAGCGTGCTCGACCCCGCGGAATCGTGATCGTCGGTTTGGTAGGCTGGAGTTCGGGGACACCTGAGAG